CATACATATATGTGTATATATCACTGATGAAGCTAATGTTTAATTATTTGAATGTATGTAAATTGACAGTGAGATTTAAAAAAATGTACAATGGGCACTATTTAAAATCTGGCCTAACATCAAGCTTGGCAGACATAACAATGACAGAATACATGCTGCCAGTTACCGAACGTTGTGTCCTGTATTACTTTATTGGCAGACAAGGCTGGTGAATAATAACTGCTTTAAACAAACAGCAGAACCCCATAACCATCGCAAACCATTTGTTATATATTCATAGGGTTGCAGCACCACCTTTAGGCCTGCTATAAGTACTGCAGCATCATTGTATTAAGAGCAGACTGTTGTAAAGCACAAGGCAGAAATAAGCTGATGTACTAAAGCTCTAGGAAAATGAGTTCTAGCTGCCATGAACATAAATGAAAAACATTAAAAGAAAAGATTTATAAAAAACACACCCAAGCTCCTGACTGACTGTTGCCTTGGCTTCTGTCAGATTGACACCTCTGATGGTTCGCAGCATGGACTCCATCTCTTCCAATAGATGCATTTGATGGGCTGATGTTACCGTCTGCTCTGTCCAGTCCACAAGTCTTGTCTCGTTCTCTAACTCTAAACCACATGTTTGAAGATTTATACACATTTATAGTTTTATTAATGTTTGTTAACTGTGTCACTGTGTAGGTGATGATTACAGTCCTAACGGATTGTTTTTACCATGAATGAGGTCTTGAAGGCTGCTAATGTTGTCAAGCAGCAGTGCACCATGGGCCAAACTGTTGGTGGAGATTTCAACTTTCACCAGGTTGTCAGATTGATTTTGGACCTGAGCAATCAGAACACAGACAATATAAAGCTTCATTAATCTCTTTAACTCCACTTTTTCCTGTAATGTTTGAATGTTATTTACTGATCAGCCAGAACATAATGACCACTCATTCCATCATTTAATCAAACCAAACTAACAAGTCAGAATGTGGAGTAAAAGCCCAACTTATTCAGACGTACTTCGCTCTGTGGAGGTCTGTGTGGACTCAAAGCGGCCGTCCATTGAACTGGTCAGCACAGAGATCTATTTTTCATGGCTGCAGTGTTGTACAATAAACTGCCCGGCAAGTTCATGTTGAACTGTTTTGGATGCAACACCAAGCTGAAAGTTGAGAATCGGTGTCATTTGTGGACAAAATGGAGTCAAAATTTGAAGAGTGTCTCATGGAGGAGATTAGAAAACTTTATGATTCATCAATGAAGGAATATGAAGACTTTCAGCGAGCAACAAATTTGTGGGAGGAAATATCTCATATCCTGGGTAAGTTCTTTTGTTTTAAAGCTAAAATGCAAAATATCTCTTCCTCCTCCCCCGTGAATTCATGACTGATAGCGAGAAGTTAAAGAATTTGTCAGGTTAGAGACTTCTTGAGTATGAAGTCTGCAACATCCGTGGACAATAAGCACAGAGTCTGCGTGGCTCATTGGACCACACACAGTATACCCGAGTGTTTGGGAGTCTTCTGAATTCCTCATGGTGTCTTGGAGTCTCTGTCAGATCCTGTTTAGCATGTTGGGGCTGAATTATACTCTGCAAGTGGTTAAGATAATTGTGTGAGGTACGGTTAAGTCCAGATCTATTTGGACAGACACAACATTTTCCTAAGTTTGGTTCTGTACAGAACCACAAAACCTTTCAGATGAGTTCAAGTTCAGACTCTCAGCTTTAATTCAGAGGGTTGATCAAAATGATTGCATAGAAATCTGAGGAACTAAAGCATTTTTTTTTACCAAAAAACTCTACATTTCAGGGGCTCAAAAGTAACCAGACAAATGAAATAGTTGTAAATAAAATGTTCATTTCTAATACTTGATGTAAAAGTCTTTGTTTTCAATGACTGGCTGACATATTGAACACATGTGCATCACCAGGTGTTTCCCTTTTTTAATGCTCCAGCCTATTTATTTTTGAGGCTCATGAGTGTCTTGCAGCGTGCAGTGAACCCTCTGTATTTACTTTCATGCAGTCTTCTTTTTATGGTAGATCTGGATATTTTTACCCCTACCTCCTGGAGAGTGTTGTTCACTTGGTTGGCTGCTGTGACGAGGTTTCTCTTCACCATGGAGATTATTCTGCCATCATCATCACTTCTGTCTTCTCTGGGTCGTTTTGCATTGATGAGTTCACCAGTGCTTGCTTTGATTCTCAGGATGAACCAAACTGTAGATTTTGACACTCCTAATATTATAGCAATTTCTCTGATTTTTCATATTTTTCTCTGCTTAAGGATAGCTTGTTTCACCTACATGGAGAGCTCTTTCAACTACATATTATCTTTTAAAATCTTTCCATGGAATAGCCTTTGAGTCAGGTGTCCCTTTAAAGGCAGGGTGGGCACAAGGTAAGAAGCTGAACTCCTAAACTATTCATCCAATTTTAAATTGAATACACTCAAATGGAAGCTGAAAGTCTGGACTTTATGTCTCTTCATTATATAACTTGAATTTGTTTCAGTGAACAAGTAAAAAAAACTAACTTTGTGTCAGTGTCCAAATAGACACAAACCTACTGGTAAGTAAGCTTTAGTTTGAGTTCTCAGAAGCTAAGAGTGAAGGTGCAGGTGGGGCGGCTGCTTGCCTCTTGATGGTGGTCAGAGGTAGACTTGATAAACTCTAGACAAGTTCAAGCCATTTACCATTTTACCATTTAATAACTTGACAGATAATTTTCTTTGAATTGAAGAGAATTCTGAAAGGACATTTTCCATATTGTCCCAATGTTGGTCAGTTTAAAAGCTGAATAAACACTTTACTCTAGGGATGGAGGTGGGGGGGGGGGTAAAATGATGATGTGTGGATGTTTGTAAAAGTGTTGGAATGAGGATAGTGTTATCACCTACATGACTGCCGAGATGCAGGCTTCCTATCAAAATGTAACATGAGAAGCAGTTTGATTCATGTCACCTGTCGGTGGTCATAATGTTGTGCTTGATGAGTGTGAATACAGATAATTATTGTCAGCCTAAATTTATCTTTTACGTGAGAAGAAATGATTGTGTCTACCCGCTGTAGCAGAGCGCTGAGATCAGAAGTCACATGATTTAAATCCTCATCCGCTTGAGACAAACATGACATTTCAGATGTTTTCAAAGAAAGCTCAGCCTAAAGACAAAACAGGAAACAGATTAGAAAAGAAAATAAAGACATCCTGATGCTTCTCAGTAATCTGGGTAGAAAATTTMAAAAAGAGTTAACTGGGTTCTCTGGATGAGTTCTTTTTTAATAGAAACATTTTAAAGCTTTTCTCAGATTAAATCAGAGTCCTTCAGAACAGAACATTTCTGCTGCCCATTCACATGTTTTCATCTATGGACAGTAGAAATGKAAAACAGCCCAGACTGACAGAAATGTTAAAGCTGCTACCAGCTCATTGTGGTCAACATGGTAACTGCACACTTAGAACTGTCACTCCCTGACTGCTAGGTTAATGAACATCTGAAAATAAATCTCAAACAGTTACTGTGTGGAAACTATTATTCAAATCCTTAAAAGATCACTTCCAGTTTCGAAGAACTAATTTTGAAATAAGTTATTATATATCTAAAGTCTCTGGAAGCCTCGGCGCATCAAATGCATCTGCAGGGATTTTAAGGTGAAGCACTGTTGCAGTAAGAGATGCACTAGGGTTAGTAAAGAAAAGCTAAAGTTTTGATGTATAATTTCCATTTGTGTCACAAACACTTGTGTAAGACAAGTTTGTGTTTAAAAGATCTGAAAATGTAGATWATTCAAAAGTCAGGTCTAAAACAAACAAGATGAGTATGTCCACTGGACGATGTGAGGATGTGTGTGTATGCTTTGTTGTGTTGTGCTGTGCCTCCCCCTGGTGTGTGTTTCCATGTTCATCTCATCTTTCTCTCTCACACCTGTCTTCAGTGTTTAATCAGTCAACCCAGCTCTGGATTTAACCTCAGTGTTCATTCATTGTTTGCTCCATGTTCTCCTCCTGTGCTCAAGAGCTCTTGTTCATTTTTTCCACCACGTTGGTCCTTTGTTTAACAAAACATTTTATCTTTGATCCTGCCTGTATTTGGGTCCAGCTCGCTGCCAAAACCTTGTCAGACAAGTTCTTTGGTGAAAAACCTTTTCCCTCCTTCAAGAGACTTCATTCATTCTGAGGAGTTAGAAGTAAACTCAACATTATTAAAGCTGTTTGTCACCATGTGGAGGCACTACTTGTAAGGCTGAGTTTCTGAAACTCCTCAGACTGAAGGAATCTCTTTGTTCAACAAAAAACACATCCAGAGATCATACTCAACTTTTTCTTTCAATTTTTAAAGGATTAAGATGCATCAGGACATCAAGTCAAGCGTTTTCATCATTTACTGTCAGTTAAACATACTGTAAAAATCTTGTCAAATTACAAATTTGAACTGTTATTTTTTATAAATTGGATTATATATCAGGATAGCAGTTCATTCATGTAAAGCCCAACTTTCTGTGGCCTGTTAAACTTTGAATAATGCTTTTGTTGAGGGTCATAGCTTGAGATACTGCACCCCAAATAGGGCTGGGTTTTCCCATGTTGTACCAAAATGACATTATCTGTGTGTAATCTATACATTTGTTTGACAATCTGAAACGTTTCAGTGTGACAAACATGCAAAAGGAAAAGTTTTCACATCATTATATTTGCTTAGATAAATCCAGGAGGTGACCTTTTTATGGCCAAGCAGTGTAATGAAGTAATAATATGTAATGAAGTAATAATATGTAATGAAGTAATAATATGTAATGAAGTAATAATAGTAAAGAAACAGCTGCTGATCATTGATCGTTTACCTCTAAATGTCTGGTTTGATTCTCCAGCAGCACCAGGTGCCAATATGGTGCCATGACGAAGTTACTCAGATTGAAAGACAGAACGTAGTCATTTAATTTGTCCAGGTCTTGGAGCAGAAGGCCAGTGCAGCTGTCATTACATGCTGAAAGACAAACACATTGTCATCTTTCATGATAAACAACATTGAACATGTGTGTGTTGTATGCACTTACACAAACACTCTCCCAGCTGCAGGATGTGGTGCTCATCACACTGGTCACATGACTGACCTCTGACCCCAGCCTTACACTCACAGTACCCACTGAGCTGATCACACTTGAGATGGCGGGAGCCCCACCCACTGCAGCTGCACTGTGAACACCCACGTCCTGGAAGTGAAGGGTTACCATAATACCCAACAGAACACCTGCAGGACAATACACACTGTAATGTTAGAAACGGTCATTTTTGAAGTCAAGCAATCGCATCAGGTATGATCTCACCTCTCACAGTATCTGCCTTCATATCCTGTCTGACAGGAAGTACAGCGGAACTCTCCAACTCCATCAGACACACAGGTGGGACTGAAACTACACACAAACTCAGGTAAATCCTGAGAATACCTTAATGACTCAGGTACACTGACAGAACTCCATTGACTCTGATGAACTCAGTAGAGAGATCATCAGTGAGCAGGATGAAGGGATACCTGTTGTCCAGTAGGGGGCAGGCACACAAAGAACAGTCACTGATGGATCCAGTGATGTTCCCATAGTACCCTGAGGCACAAAGTTCACAGTGCTGCCCACTGGTGTGGTGCTGACAATTCTGGAGGAAAAATGGAACTTTAAATGTTTTTTAAATCATATCTGCCCAGTTTACTTTGTGTATTAATATGAGAAAGCATATGCCTTATCATGTTTTAACATAATATGAGTTCATGTGTGCAGAAACATTACCTGACACACTCCAGTCTTTGGGTCACACATTTCACTGTGGTTGTTGCAATGACATGGAATGCATGGATGAACATAGATCAACTTTTGGTTGTTCAGAGACAACTCAGACTCAGTCTGCCGGAAATAACCTGCTGCACAGTCCTGCAAAAAGACAGGTGAGTGAGACTAGTCAGAGTAACTTTAGGTCAAGGACAGAAAGAAATGTAAAAAGCAGAAAGGTCAGTATGACAGGCCAGAGAAGGGGAGATGGTCTGAGAAACAGTCACTGACAAACAGGTTAGAGAAAAAGAAAAAAAATCAAAGCGACATAAGAATTGGAGCATCAGTCAGATCACAGAAACCAAAAAGATAAAAGGTGCAGAGTGGGTGGCTCTTCATCTCAAGCCTGAGTCCTCTACCAGAGGGCTGGGAACTTGATGCTTAGCTGTTCCTGTGACTGTGCCCTTCTGGACTGAGATGTCTGATGTTTCTCCAGGTATCTGTTGGAGCCACTTCACTAGCGTGGGGGGTCACCACCCCAAGTGCTCCATTGACCATGGGCGCTACAGTTGCCTTCACCTGCCTGACTCGGTCTAGCTTTTCTCTGAAACCTTTGGCATTTTTCCAGTTTCTCATGTTCCTTGTTCCTGATGTTTCCTTCATTGGGCATGGCCACACAATTCACAACAGCTGTCCTCTGCTGCTTATCAACAACCACAATGAATGCTTAGTTGGTCATTACCTTCTTCTCTACACCTGGAAGTCCCACAGGATCTGAGCTCAGTCTGTACATTGTACTAGCCACTTGGTTATGGTGTTTCATGTATTCCTTTCCTGCTAGTATCTTAGACCATGCTGTGAGATGCTGGATGGTTTCTGGGGCTTGTTACGTTCCCCTTGGCTGTCTAGGAGCTGGGGGACGCAGCAAATAAAAGAAACCGGGCAATGAAGGAACATAACACAGGAGGATCAAAATAAAGAATGATTTATTTAGTAAAATAAGATGACCTGTAATGGGGGAAATAACCTGAAGTGAAAAAATGGGAGAATTAATCATTACGTTTTAATTGTGGTGGCGGCAAAATTACTTAATCCCCCAACTCCCATAAACAAAAAGGGTGCCTGGGCCCACAAGGTCAAAGGCTCATGTGGCTCAGCCACCAACTAAAGTAAACAAAACTTTGCACCAAACACCATAATCCTTGTCAAACACCCAAAAGGGTCACAAAAGTCACCCTACAGGATGGGGAACCAGCACGCCAGAACCTCAGGTACCTGCAGTAGCCCACCAGTGCTCCACAAAACACAGGCAGACAATCACCAGCAGCTCACAAGCTGCCCCAAATGGCCATATACATCAAGCTGCTTCTTCTTCTTCTTCTCTTCTATTATGGCGGATTGCAAGCAACTTTAAGGTGCATACCGCCACCTACTGTACATGAGTGTGTAGCAACATTTCTTTACATCTATTAAATTTTATTTATTAATCTTGTATTTTTCAGAAAATTAAATAATGCTTTCCTTAATCTATAAATATCCATTAGTTTTCCTTCATTTCCTAATATTCCTTTAAGACTCCATTCTTGACCTGTCCTTCTAACCATTCTTTTCAAATTCTCCCTTTCATATTCATATGTTCTACAGTTCATTAATACATGYTCTACATTTTCTTTCTCTCCACATCCTTCACATTTATCATTACTTTTCTTCCCTATTAAATATAAGTTGTCATTTAAATAGGTATGACCTACTCAATCTGGTCATAATTATTTCTTCCCTTCTGTTTCTCTCATTAATATTTCTAATTAATACTGACTTTTGTATTTTACTGTATATAATCTTCTCCCTTTCTTATCTTCATTCCACATTTTTTGCCATTCTTCCATTTCTTTATTCTTAATAAATGATTTCCCTTCCCCTTTCCCAAAAGGAATCATAACCGTTATTGTCATTTCTAATGCCCTTTTTGCTAATTTATCTGCTTTTTCATTTCCTTTAACCCAGGGGCGCCCAAACATTTTCCCCAAGAGGGCCAAAATGAGAATCTATCC